CACAACATTAATTCAAAATCATTTTCTTCTCTCCTAGTGGTGGGTAAGCAATTCAACCATTTGGAGTCAAATGGGTTATAATAAAAAATTAAAATAAGTAAAATATATAATACAAAATAAATAAAAAATAGGGCATATCTCTAATATTGTATATTCATTAAACTAAACAAAAATAAGTATCAAATGTAAGGAGTATTCTTAATAATGATGAAAATGAAATGCCAAATTTAAATTCTACCTATAAATGTAATGATGTTATAGTCAAATAATTACAGTAATTACTATTATAATTTAAAATTTTCACGTGCAATGAATATACACGTTTACTACAAGTATTTATATTTATTTTTAATCATATTTTTATTTTTATTAATTTTTAATTTTATCTTAATTATAGTATATCTAAAATTTAAATAATTAATATGAAAAAAATTATCACGTATAACGTACTTGCTTATAATATAAATAATTTCCCCCTATCTTACTTATAACAAAAAAAAAAGCCGTCCTCCGAGATAGAAATATTCTTATGACCTTATCCGCACACAGATTAACTCGAATCAATGGTTTCCAAATTTTGATTTGACCATTTTTATGTATGTTGGTGGCTGTTTTGAGAGAGAAAGGCTATAGGCCTCAGAGCAATTATTTTGCTTTTATGTTGTAAAAATAGGAATTTGCTTTAATTAATGTTTTTTAATGGCGTGTGCCTTTCCAAAGTTTAACTTCTGCGTGTGGGATTTGTTCTTCCTTATTTTCATAATTCTGATTTTGTGGTGTTGGTCCATTTGCCAATTGTAATCAAGCTAGCTACTTTATATGAGCAATTCTATTATTGTCTATATTCATCAACTAAATTGATTGATCCATTTTCCAATTATTATTATTATTATTATTATTATTATTATTATTATTATTATTATTATTATTATTATTATTATTATTATTATTATTATTATTATTAACGTGATGACTTTCTCTCTCTCGGGTTCGTCCCAAGGGGCTGTTAGTCCATACCCACCCAACCTCAAACCTAGTGGTAGCATGATTTGATTTCAATTCTCCGCTACAATGAACTAGAAACCTTAGCAATTGAGCCACCATCATTTAAGAGGGCATTGTATAACGTGAATTGTTCTTCTTATTGTCGGTTTTAAAAACAAATCAAACATATATTTGAAAACAGATTGTTGATTGTTTCTTAAAACAAAAACATAAAAACATGTTCTTGGTTGTGTATGTGTTTTTTTTTTTTTTTCTTTTTCTTTTTGTTTTCAAAACTAAAACCAAAAATATGTTCTTGAATCAGGTCTTAACAACATGTTTTCTTCGTATTATTAAACATCATATTTCATAAATCATATAATTTCTATACTAAAATATTTGTTTTTATTTTAAAAATCATTATTTTGTTGGTTCTAAAAACATGTATTATTTTTTAAAATCAACTTATTTTTTCCTTTAGGTTCAGTTTGGAAAGAGTATAAATGCAAATATATATAGTACAAATATATGCAAAATAATACAAAATATAAGATGTTGCCCTCGACAATTTACATTTGTACTCTTTCCAAACTGAGCCTTAAAAACAAAAATAGAATTCAAGAATATATGTTTTCTATTTTTTGCTGATGTGACAATTTCTAAAACAAATATAAATAAAAACATTCATCTATACCACTAGGGTTTGAACTGAACTAAGTCGAACCCTAATCAGTTGTCAATGTACGAGTTTGAACTGACCAGGTCCAACATTTTGGATCTACACCTAGACCTACTAATCGGTCCAGACTACATCCACCATGGAGTACTGCGTAGGGTATATTAGTCTATGTCTACGTCCACCATAGCCATAAAGGGAGTTGATTGCTAGAAACACCCAAATAATAAAGGGAGGGTCCCCCATCAGATGGATAGCCTTGATTTGCCACATCATCCCTCGACATGTCAGAGAGCTGCCTCGATCGGGTAGTAATTGAATGTTCAAAGCAGGTTGGATTTGAATGGAATGCCACCAAAAGCTTTACAAATTGGAACGTGTGAGATGACTCAAACAGGCCAGACTGCTCCATTAACGGACAAAACAAGCCTTCTGCGTTCAGAGCCTCAGAGGTCGTGTGTGTTGGGTGGGTCTGTAAGCAGAGGCAGCACTTGTCCAAACTTTGAAGTTGGAATCCATAAACTATTCAGCAACGATATCATGCATCTATCATCATAGAAACTTGTGGGACAACCTACCCCCAACTAAAATTTTACAATTTATGCTTAATCGACATGCCAACTTTGATTGGCCATTTGATTGAAACCCACCAAATTTTAGTGTGAGAAAGTAACACAATATCACTCCTCCTCTACTGGATAGCATCGAAGTCACCATATTTAGTCTTTTCGTCAAAATTCTAAACAAAGTTACAAACCACCAAAGAAAGAGACGTGAGAAATGTGAATAGCTATTGAAGGATATTTTCGTCAAACCACGTTACCGTACTTCGACCGAGAAGAGGCTTTTCTCGAACTCCGGTTTTCTAACCCTTTCGGTCTTTTCGTGGTTCCAATAATCTACCTCTTTGATTACGAAATGCCAATTGTATCCCAAAATATTAAACAAACGCAGCACAGCTTATCTAATTACAATAACAAAAAAAAAAAAAGTTGAATTCCAACGTTTTACTTTTTTTTTTTTTTTCTTTTTACTCTTTGTGTGTTATCTGCTAAGTAAATAATGTTTTTTTCTTTTTTATTGATTAGTTAGAGGATATATATTGCAAAATTTAGTATCCATCTATTTTAATTTTTAATTAGTAGCAACCTTTGGTTTGGTGAGGAATACGTGAGAGAGAGATATTTAATTCTTTTCCTAATTAAACACAAATAATAAGCATTGTCTAAGAAAGAAAAAACATAGAAAATTTAGACAATCTAAGGATTATTGCCATATCCATAGTGTATAATCAAATAAACGTGCTAAATCAACAAAACAATTGAAATCCCTATGGCTCAGTTTGGTAAGAGTGAAAATACAAATATATACAGTGCAGAACATATATGTTAATTTCTAAACTATAATTTAGTGGTTGATGAGATTTAGATGCTTGTCGGGTTTACATTTGAGCTGTTATTAATTTTTAAGGATGATTTCAAGAGTTCCATTGGTTTTAATTACTTGTTTTCATCCGTGAGTTTTGCTCCCTCTCTTTCTCTTTCTTCTACATCAAATTTGTTATTATTATTTGAATTATTTGGACATGATAATTCGAAGCATCAGCTCTAAGAAAAAGAACCCCACTTTTCTAAATTGTTGATGTACTTATCTATTGCTCACTGATAACTAGTCTATTATGACTAACAAATTATTTAAATTCTCTCTCTATGGATGTTTCTACTTAAATTTCCATGTGCAAAACTAAACTTTGACCTTTAGAATGTCAAGTATCCTTGCATGTAAGATATTCAGATAAAAGAATTGCATTTAGTTCAGCATTAGTTTCATTTATTGATAAACTAAAGTTGTGTTTGGATAAACTTCAAGATTTGTGCTTTCAAAGCCCCAAAGCACAAAGCCCCTATAGTTCTAGGCTTTGCATTTTGGAGCTTGAAAATATTTTGGCTTTAGAATATTACTCTTTTTTTTTTAAATTCTATTATTATCAAACGTTCAAAGCTTATCCAAATGACTCACAATGTTATATTAAATTGCTCATATAAATATGATACATTTACATTTTAATGAGGTTGATAAAACATTAATTACTCAACATCTAACTTCCATGGTACATTTGAACATTAGTATACAAAATTCAGATAGACAACCTTCATGGTTGAAATTAAGCAGTGCATCATACATTATTGCATTGGCAAAAGGCGAGAAGAGGAAATTATAATAGGGGAACGGATCTAACTGCTATTATATGAAAAGACAAAGATATTCAGTCTTTATCAGTTTTCTGAGCACATGCATGTAGATCTACCGGTCATTAGGTTCAAGAAAAAGAAAAAGAAAGCCAGTCATTAGATGTGAGACATGTTGAATGCATGTTCTTCAATAATCATGCAGTCATATTACTATTATTTGCATTTTCTTGAACGTCTGGTATTGTTTTGATCAATGTAAATTGATAATTGATTGCCCGATGAGGATCACTTGATCAACTCAAATCCTTAAGTACAGGACAATATTTTGGAAAGTTAGCTCATCAGTCAATATGGATGAATACATACAAACCCACTTACAGCTCTTGTAGCCATACCTTTATAGAAACAGAAAAGAGAAGAAATTTCTTCATTATTTATCTTTTAGTGATCAATCATATATGTTGGACAAAGTAATTGCATTTGTATTGCATTTAGGGAATGGGGGTAGTTCATTTTTGTTACTCCAACTACTTTACCTCCTACCCAATTCAACAAACATGGGATAATATGTCTTTGATTTCTTAGACAAGAAGAATTAGTTAACTATTGTGTTTGATTTAATTTCAAAGACAAAAGGGACCATATAGGCATAGGGTAATCTTCTTTATTATAATTTATTTCTTGGGATCCAGCCCAACAGACAAGAATTGGAATACTAAAAAGTAAAATCCCTCCAATTACATAAATGAGTGAAAAGGGGATGAATCTGACATAATTGGAAATGACAAGGTCTTTTTCTTTAATACAAATCGCAGAACAGATAGACATAGCTAACATGAATACAAGCCTGCAATCTGACATGAATTTGGATTTTTTCTCCTTTTCTTCTTCCCTTCTGGCCTCTTCTCCCTATGAGATCCAAAAACTCAGCACAAAATATATACTTTTTTTTATATATATAGAAAAAAACTCATAAGCCCTTTTTTCTGATTTTCTGCACCTTAAAAAAAGTCGTCCACAAAATTAAAATATTAAAAAAAATGGGAGGAAAAGGAAAGCAAGCCCAAACAAAAACATAAAACAAATCTCATAAATCTGAATTCAAGTTGTGGTTGAGATTCAACCTCGCCAGACTCTTATACTGCAAGAGACAAACCCAACTCAACCATTAAGGCATAAACTGTTTATGAAATAACTCTCTCTCTCTCTCTCTCTCTCATTTCCTCTTCAGAGTTGCCCGTTATGACCCACCGGAAAGCCAGACAGTCTTGATTTTCCATCAAGCTTTAATTTCACCTCCATGCAATATTCTTTGATTGCACCGCGCCATGTGGGTATATATATGTAAGAGCCGTTAATGTGATATAGTGGATAGATAGTATTTTGGTGGGTTAAGTTTAATAGACTACACCATATTTCAGATTTGGAATGCTCGCTGTGTCACCTTTAAGATGTTCCAACGATGAAAGGCAAGGGGAGATGGAGAGTTGTCCAGATGGGGTTGGTGACTTCTCGGACGTATTTCCTGGCGGAAACTTGCTGGATGGTATCGATTTCGATGATCTTTTCGTCGGCATCGAGGACGGAGATGTGTTGCCAGATTTGGAGATGGACCCAGAATTGCTGGCCGAGTTTTCGGTCAGTGGCTGCAGTGGCGGTGAGGAATCAGCTGAGAAGAATGCATCAGCATCAGTTGGGAAGGTAGAAGGGAATGATAGTGGAAGAAGAGAGGACGAAGAAGAAGGCAAAAGTTGGGCTTCTGGTTTGGTTTCAAGTTCATGTCAAACCGAAGAAAATCAGGAAATTTTGAGTAAGAGAGAAGAAGCGGTTGCTGTAAATCCACCCCCAAAAGTAGCTGATAAAGGCCGCAAATCATCGACGCAGCCGAAAGCTTCCCAAGGGAAGCGGAAAGTGAAGGTAAACGGCAATGGGTCTATATTAGGAAGCTGATATGCTGGTGCTTTTTCACAGTAGCCGGACCATTAGGTCTGACTGTAACTATTAAGGACTCGAAGTTGTTCTTTTACAATTAAGTTTCCTGACTCATTTAAGAAGCCAAAACTCTCTCTCTCTCTCTCTCTCTCCTGTGTTAGTTTCATGGTTAGATCTGAATCTGAATCATCTGAAACAATGGCTAGTTGCTAGAATTAATAGTCTGGCTATAGTTGTGTAGCGCGCCAGAATTTAGTCGGAGAGCTCAGTGGCAGTGGAGAAGAAAAGGGAGGAAAGAGAGTTTCTTTTCCTATTTCATTATCATCGATCTTTTATTATAATTTTAAAAAAGTTTAATTATTTTTATTGAACTGGGTATAGGTCGACTGGACTCCAGACCTGCACAGGCGGTTCGTTCAAGCAGTGGAGCAGCTAGGGGTGGATAAGGCAGTCCCTTCAAGGATTTTGGAGGTCATGGGAATCGACTGTCTTACTCGCCACAACATTGCTAGTCACCTTCAAGTACGTACGCATCTTTAATTTCTCAGTTCTTGAGACTGTTTCCCTCGTTAGGTCATTTCAGCTTTCTGAGAATTTCATCAGCTTTTCCGGTGAATCTTGAAACATAATAGAAGAATGGAGACCACGCGTGGGGTGGGGAGCTCCACTTTTAGATATGAAACGATAAGCATTTGTATCTGAACTGAAAACTTGGATTTTTTTTAAACCAAATTTAGTGAGGATATATATATTCAGAGAATTACAGGATTTTTGTTTTTGCAGAAATATCGATCACATCGGAAACATTTGCTAGCACGGGAGGCGGAGGCGGCGAGCTGGAGCCAGAGACGGCAAATGCACGGTGGCGCGGGAGGAGGGAGTAAGAGAGATCATATGAACCCTTGGCTGAAGCATGTACCCACCATGGGCTTCCCTCCTCCTACCCCTCTGCAGCCTTTCAGGCCCTTGCATGTCTGGGGACATCCAAGTCCAACCGTTGATCACTCCGTAATGCACATGTGGCCGAAACATCTAGTTCCTTCACCGCCTCCGCCGTGGGCACCACCACCTCCAGATCCTTATTGGCATCCCCACCACCAACGGGTTCTCTCTCTCTCTCTCTCTCTCTCTCTCTCTCTCTCTCTGAATGATACTTTTCCCTCTTAATTTATTCTGTGTCCCTCTCTCACTGGTCCATTTTTTCTCTTCTTTATTTCCTCTAGGTTCCAACAGCTCTTGCACCAGGGACTCCTTGCTTCCAACAGCCGCTAGCAACAACGGTAACCACTCGACCCTCAGTCCTCACCTTTTAATTTGTAGTCATTCTATGCTTATGTAACGGAGTTTTGGACTCATTTTGTCCAGAGTATACTCAAACATGAATGTGTTTATGTGTAATATCGATCTAAAAATACTCAAATATGCTTATTATTTTGTTAATGGAAATGGGTGAGTGCAGAGGTTTCCAACTCCTCCTGTCCGGGGCATTCCACCACATCCCCATGCCATGTACAAACTAGACAAAGGCAGTGGTTTCCCAACTGCCCAATCAGATTACTCCCATCATCCACTTGACCTTCATCCGGTAAGAAGAATATTTATACCTTAATTTGTTCTATAAATTATCAAATGCAAAATATATAGAGCCCTGATTAATTAAGTTGCATAAGGAGAACTCAATAACCCTAATTGATCTCTTCAGGCTTTCAAGTATAATTCAATTAGAACTCTGATGAAACTAATGTGCCACTTATATATATATATATATATATATATATATATATATCCTATAACTCTCGCCTCCTTTTTTTAAAATATTTATCTTTACTACTGTTAACTTTCGTGATAAATAGCTATTAGTATATATCTGTCTGCTGCTTTCAGATTTTCCTCTTCGATCACCTAAATCACTTTCCTTGGTGATGTAATTAACAGTCAAAGGAGAGCATAGATGCAGCTATTGGAGATATTCTGTCAAAGCCATGGCAGCCACTTCCCATTGGGCTAAAGCCTCCATCTCTTGATAGTGTGTTGGTGGAACTACAACTTCAAGGAATTTCTAAAATTCCACCAAATTGTGCTTGATATCTTGTAGCATCCATATCCAATAGGTGGGTGCCATGGTGATTTTAGCCCGAACCCCAAATTTGACGACATGCCTTTCTTGTAGATGTACCCTTCTGATCCCAGTGTTTTTTTTTTTTTTTTTTTTCTAATTCTCTATCAAGAACCAATTTTTAGTTAACATGATAATGGATCGATGAAATGAAAAGGCCGAAATTTTTGTAATGGTTGTATGAGATTATTAATAATGGTGAATATATCTATTTTCTTGGTTTGAACTCTTGCTGTGAGAGAGAGAGAGAGAGAGTTCAGATTTGCTCCTTCCTTCAAGCTAAGGGTGCAAGTGTCCATCAAAACGCCCAGGAACAATTTGTGGGTAAAAGATCCGAGGTCCATATGTAATCAGGCCTTTGAGGCTATGACCCCAATGAAATATGGGGACATTATGATTTTCATTTCCATTGCTGTAGTACTGTATTATTTCATTTGGAGGGCACAAGAGAATTCTGTGACCATGGTTGTACCAGATGTGTGCTCTCAGTAAACTGTGCCAATACATGAGTTAACAAAGAACAAAAGCTTGGCCTACAATTTGTAGGCAAAAGCTTGGGCGTGGAGAGTGGAGACACATAATAAGTGGCCAAGGGCATTATCTCCAAAACTTTTCGGTTGACATATGTTAGAGGATTGAGACTCACCAATCAACGTAACGGGGCTCCCATTTCTTCAAATGTGCTAGCTGCCTTTCGATCTCAGGCTTGTTGCAGTGGAGACTTGGGAAATTGGAATCCAATATTTCACCTTCACTTTTGGTTTCATAGAAAATAAGAGAGAAACAAAAGTTGCCAAAGTCTAGGAAAGTTCTTGACAAACATAGCATTGGGGAGGGCTTAGTCTGGTAGTGCTTGACTTGGAATCGGACTCGGTCTCTGGTAGTGCTTCGTCTCATCTTTCCTTTGCTGATCACTAAGATTTTCTACCAGGTTGGTAGGCATTTGGCAAAGCGGAGTTTTCTTAGTTGGCATTTTGCAGTTTGAGGCTGTTGTGGTGGTCTCCTGTATTGTAGTTTTTTGTTGTTCCCTATTGCGGTTTGTTTGTTTGTTCAAGCCTAGTTTCAGTGCTATTTGGATTAGAATCTACTTTTTTAGAGGTTTTTCTTTTAACTGGTTATTGGGACAATTTTCTTTCTTAGTTTGCCTCCCTTTATGCGGTTTGTTTGTTTGTTCAAGCCTAGTCTCAGTGCTATTTGGATTTGAGTCTATTTTTTTAGAGGTTTTTCTTTTAGCTGGTTGGGACAAGTTTCTTTCTTAATTTGCCTCCTTTTATATATGTATTGTTTACTTTTCTTAATTTAATACTTAACCTTCTTAAAAAAAAAAAAAGCATAGCATTGGGGAGGGCTACCCTATTATTGCTTTTCCCCACCCCACACACACATAAAAGAAAAGGGAAAAACTCCTATTTCATTGTAATTGGCATTGCTGGCCACCTTGGGTTTCCTTTGTGGGGGCCAATCATGAAATTATCATTTTTACATTCTGAAAAGTAATTAAGTCGTACTGGCTCACTTCTTATACAATTTTGAAAGAAGTAGGAGCCTTTAAATGCCACACGAGAATCGTTTTCACCAAACATTTTTTTTTCTTCCTGAAAACATTGCCCCAACATCTATGGTGCTGCATTAATGATTAAGGCGAAATAACAATATCACAGTCCTGCCAAAGTAGACTAATTAGAACATGCTTGGTTTCATTATTATATAAGATGAAATTCTAAAATGGATAAGAGTGGGTAAAAATAGGTAGAATGAGAAAATATTGCTATGAATCAAACATTTTTTTTCCTAAAAATGAATTCTTTTTAGACCGACAAGTGTCCTATGCTCATCATTTTCATTCTTCAAGAAAAAAAAACTATACCGGCATTCATAAACCGCCAACCTAGGTCTCCAAAACTGTTGGCATAGATGTTTTGTAAAAGTACTTTCATAGAATTGCTTTTATAAAAATACTTTCATGAAAGTGCTTTCATAGAAAGTGCTTTCATAGAAAGTGCTTCCGTAAAAGTGTTTTTATAAAAGTACTTTCATAAATTTACTTTTATAAAAATGCTTTCATAAAAGTACTTTTATAAAAGTGCTTTAGTAAAAGTACTTTTATAAAAGTGCTTTCATAAAGTGTTTTTATTAAAGTGCTTTCATAAAAATACTTTTATGAAAGTACTTTCATAAAAGTGATTTCATAAAAGTACTTTAATGTAAAAGACTTGTAAAAGTTTTTTTATAAAAGTGATTTTGAAAAAGTGCTTTCATAAAAGTGTTTTACTTTTGCAAAAGTACTTTTCATAAATTTACTTTTTTTAAAAGTGCTTTCATGTAGAAGTACTTTTGTAAAAGTGCTTTCATAAAAGTGTCTTCGCAAAAGTAAATATCTATGGTAGTAGTTTTGTAGGAAAAGTTTCCTCAAGAATGAAAATTAGCAAGATGGGGCATGATTATTTTTCATGTTGCAGGCTAATCAAGTTTTGTGCTATGGGGCTAATTTTTCATTCTAAAAAGAATGTGGCCCATGGCAAGAATTTTGTAACCAAACACTAATGTTATTCATTCTTCCCCATTCTTGTCTAGAATGAGCAAGAATTAAAAGAATGAAACCCAAAGTAGTGAACCAAACATGGCCTAATAGTAGGTTCTCATTAATTATATTGTAGTTGTTTCTCGTTTTCTGCATAGCCAAATTTGTCTATCATTTTGGTTTCTAATTTCAAGTTTTAGAAATTGTTTATTGCTACAAAACTTATTTCTAAAGCTAGAAAAAGAAGATTTCAAAATCTAGAAACCAATTGTCATTTTACGAGTGTATGCTTCTTATTTATTTTGCTTACCTTTTGTTTGTTGTGAGAATGGTGGTGAAAGGACTAGAGTTGTTGGGTGCAACTATTTTTTGGGGCTTCAAGATGGTGGCAATTGTTTTAGTGGTTAGATTTATAGAGAAGAGTAGGGTTGTCCTATTGTTGCTTTTCAGAGTAGAGTGAATAGAGTGAGTGTCTGTTTTGCAAGAGCAAGGGGGTGTTTTGTAGTGTGGTTGAAAAATTGGGTGTGTTTCCCAACCAAGAACACACCATGCCATAACAAAGTAGATGTTTTGTGTTGCGGCAAAACATTAGTAGTCTGAACCACACTGATGGAGGGTGATTTGGCCCGACCTTGCAGCACGGGTACACGTGGGCGTGACCTTGCTCAAACAGTGACTCAGCATGACAGCGCAACGGGCGTGAGCACAACTCGGAGGGAAAGTCCCACTGAGTTCAGCTCGACAACTCGGCGGGTAAACTGCTCGCCAGAAGCTGCCTTACCCGAACCTCCTCCCCGGGGTTAAGGCACTTCGGGGGGCCCCGAGTTCAGGGCACCCTGACCTCCCTTAAGGCCCGAGCTCCCCCCAATGGACCTTGGGCCACTCCCAGACAGGAACACACCAATCCATCTCCGGACACCCCGAGGCTTAGACACCTCGGGTCAGCCAGCTCGGCATAACTGGCTACAGGCAGCTCGTTACTCAAAGGACAGCCTGGCTCAGGGTAATTCATGGGAGGGTAGTTCGGTATACCACAAATGCTCGACCGCCGTACCCGACAAACCTGTGGATAGCAGACATGTCCCTCATCAGATAGCGTCGTGCCTGCCACCTTTAGAAAGGTGTCCCGCACCTGATAGGCACGTACCCTGCAATGACGGCCCCACGCGTGCCACCTCAACCTTGCTTGTAACGGTTGTGGCAGACTGACAGTGGCGGTAATACCTGCCTTGTCAGAAATCAAAGGACCTGAAGCAACGGAATTCAGTTATAAGGGGCTTATTCTCAAGGAACAAGGTATCTTCGAATCACCTGCGCAATCTGCACTCTTATCCTTCGTTTTCCTTTTGCTTCTTGCACACAATACTAACTTAAGCATTGGAGCGTTCCCGCCGGGAAACCCCCTAGGAGTTCTTCCTCTTTCCTCTTGTCTCAGGTACCTCTCAAGAGCCACGCGAGTGCTAGCTAGGAGTGACCGGATCGCGCTACATCATTTGGCATCGTCAGTGGGAAACGCTTCAAAAGGCCTTTCTCTCTAAACTTTCGTAGTTCTTTTTTTCCTTGAAGCAGTCCAACGCTCATGGCTTCCTCTAGCAACGTCGGACGAAGCACAGAAATGGATAACTCCAGGGAACAACCCCAGCTTCCTACTGTCTGTATCGGACAGTTCACCATCCCCCTCTTAGCGGACGGAATCCCCAGCTTAAATGTGCCTCTCACAGTGGCACCTGTCATCGCCCTGCTCCCTGCTACAATCGGAGCGACGTTCACCGAACCTTCAGTCGTGCCCCAAACCAACTGGAGGACTTGATGCAGTGCATGCGGGCCATGCAGGCCCAAATGCAACAGTTCCAGCAACTTCAGCTCTATCAACAACACGTACTGCACCAGGTCTCCCAGTATCAGTATCAGTAGCAGTTCCCCCAGCTGCCTCAACCTCAACTTCAACAGCCGCAGTTCCCGCCTTGACACCCAGCCTCACAGCAAGCTAAGTCTCGCCGCCAGGACGAATGCCCCTTTGGCCAAGGAGAGGCCCCCCAAAACCTCCCAAAAATCTAGGCCTCCCCCCGCGGCAGACGGGAGAGACCGGCTACCCCAATCTCACCGCGGGCGGACAGGTCGGGAGGACCCCAGCTCGCCAGGTCTACATCACCTCGGCAGTCGAAGTTTGAAACCCCGCTCCTTGAGAACCAGTTCGAGATCCTGGCAACAGTCCCCAAGTAGGATCCCTCTGTTTGTAGCCATCGCCAACAGGCCGGGCTACTTCCTGCACAAACCATTCCGGACAGTGCAGAGGTGAGCAGAACGAATGCCGAGCCCAACAGAAAGCAGAGACACCATCACCGAGCTCACCGATCTGTCACCTGCGATTTGCCCGAGCTCATGGGAAAAGAAGAGGTAAGCTCGGCCGAAGTCAAAGCTCCCCTCCTCTCGGTTCCATCCCCCTTGTCTTCCGAACTCCTGGCAGTCCCAATGCCCAAAGACTTCAAGCTCCCCTCTCTTGACAAGTATGATGGGTCGTTTGACCCAAATGATCACATAGATGCCTTTTAGTCACAGATGCACCTGGCGAGAGCCAGTGAGTGGTGCATGTGCGTGGCCTTCTCCACTACTTTTAGGGGTGCAGCCCGCACGTGGTACCGGAACTTGGCACCTGGGTCGATAAGAAGTTGGGCACAGTTCGCACAAGCCATCACGTCCGA